AACCCTAAACCCGAAACCCAAACCGTCTATTGGGTGCTTAGGATCAGGCCCAACGAGTCGTGCTCAATCAAGCGGAAGCTGAACCTTATTCAGAGGCTTTGGTCCCCCAGCTCGAGTAGTCAGTTCTGGGTTGATTTGAGGGTTTGGGGTTTAGGGTCCCTTTTAGGGTTCAGGGTTTATGGTTTAGGGTCCCTTTTAGGGTTTAGGGTTTATGGTTGAGGGTCCCTTTTAGGGTTTAGGGTTTGGGGTTCCTTTTAGGGTTTAGGGTTTAGGGTTTAGGGTTTAGGGCCTTTCTTGGGGGGAAGTGAAAGATGTATGGCTGCAGTGACTGTCAGGACGATGTACCTGGACTCGGCCCCTGATTGCAACCCCTTGTTTTGGACAACCTCCCCTTTTCCTTAGGGTAGTACGGTACAACCATACAGAAAACAAGGTAGCCCCCCTAAACCCTAAACCCTAAAAGAAAACCCTAAACCCTAAACCCTAAACCCCAAACCCTAAACCCCAAACCCTAAACCCCAAACCACAAGAAACGGTGCGTCAAAGGACGTGCAAGAATCAATCCTGAGACTGCAGGAGCTGCAACGACAACCCGCAACTGCAGGAAGGCCAGGGGCTGCTCGGTTTAGGGCTTAGGGTTTAGGGTTTAGTTTGGGGGTTTCCTTCTTAAGATTATAGTATCGTATACCACCCAAAAAAACCTATTCTGATTATTAAGGTGTCTATATTACCTGGTGGGCTTCAGCTACGTGCGATCGGGACTCGGAACACATCAGGACAGCCAGCCGGCCGCGATCCGAAGTCAAAAACATGTGGCCCCCCACCCCCTTGCGAGGACACTAACACTAACACCGCCCCTCAATCCTTGATCCAAGTTGAGAGGGATCCATGCTCCTCAATGGCGACCTTTCTGCTTGCAAGCTTCATTTTGAGGCCCTAAACCCTAAACCCTAAACCCGAAACCCTAAACCCTAAACCCTAAACTCGAAACCCCGAACCCTAAACCCTAAAGTTCCATCCTTCGCCGGAAATCTAGCTTCCAGCTTCTGAGATGCAGCTTGCCGCATGGAGATCCTGGCCTCTCACGACCCAAAAGCACCAAAACCACAAAGTCCCAAAGACAGGGCTTAGGGTTTGGGGCTTTTAGGGTTTAGGGTTTCGGTTTTAGGGTTAATGTCCTAGAACCCCAACCCCAAAACGAAGACTCCGAACTCCAATACTGCGAGGACACAAAACCCTGAGACAACATAAAAGACCCAAGACAACGACCTACCGGACCTACCGTATGGGCCTTCATAATTACCTATACTACTGTGGGGGCTCCTTATTATACTTGTAGTACAATA